ATGTAACTATCTGCATCGCAGTGGTCACTCTCCATGTAGCATCAATTATGCTAATGCTAGCTGCCTGTTGTGTTCTCTCGTCCTAACCACACCTCCTTTCTGACTGAAGCCTGAAAATCTTAGACAAGCGGCAAAAAATCTACAGGAGGATAAAAATAAAAAGAGGCGGAAATGAATGAAGTTCGGCAGCGATGGAGAGACGGGAGATCGTAAGTCAGCAATGAGATATCCGAAATTTATTACATTTATTATATTTGTATAAATATATTTCATAGTTAGGGTGAAGTTTAGTTTGTTGTTTTAGTGTCTTTGATGCAAAAAAAATAAAGCGATGAACGTGGAGCTCCAACCCAGCTGCAGACAGGTGGACCGAGCCGGACCGAGCCACAGTTTGAGAGAGGAGCTCAAAGGTAGAGATGGAGGAAAAACAGTCGGAGACAGAGTGAGGACTTTGATGAGGAAGTAGGTGATTCACTATTTTAATTATAAGAGAGAAGAGAAGAAGATCGAGCACCGAGCGGACTCTAAGGGGGAAATCMTCATCCCGTTACCGGTCTGCCGGGGCAGACGGTGCAGCGCTAACTGGAGGCTAACTACACCGAACAGCTGATGAAAGCATGTAAACAACGGGAGGTGTAGAACTTTTTATTCAGCTGGTGGATCCACAACCTCAGTACCAAACAGCTCCACGATGATTATTGTTTGTTTTTTGCCAGGGTGAGTGTTTGTTCTGATTTTGTTTAATATGTTAAGATCATGCTAACAATAGCCGCTAACGTCAACACACATCCAGCACCTAACGACACAGAACTAAGGCAGCCTAAAGTCCAGATGAGGTCCACATTAAACTACCAGTAACTRAATACTCACAACTAAATAAACAATCATTATAAAGATAAACTCTAAAACAAGTTAGCAGCTAACTGATGTAGTGATGTCTGCAGACACCGACATCCTGCTCCTCCTGACTGCAGACGGTTTAAAATCTACTTTTTACGTTGTCGTTCTGTGAGCTTTCT